CGTTACTCTGTTGTCGCGTAGCTTGCTATGTGAGCAGCCATGTCAACTTATTGTGCAAGTCAGTTGATCGAATCGGTTCGCGTAGCCTACTGGACCATGACGTTTTTAGGCACATCCAACAGAGGATCTTTTTTTTTTTTTTTTTTAAATTCCAGTTGATCCGTCTATCTCAGTATGAGGGACATGTTAGAAGATTCATCATATCTCTTCGAATGGTACATATATCTTTCTGGATTGTATATGCTTTCTTGCTTCTAATTATTTCTTACCTTAGATAGTAACGTAAAACTTATATCTATGTCAATTAGTCTTCATTATTAACTATATAGAAAGTATATAATTTTCTTTTCCGCATATTCTTATCTGACATGATTACTATTTGCCTCACATGTTTTTAAATTTCCTCTCAAACCACGAACTAATCATGACATTAAAATAAAATACAACAGTTTCCCTCCTTCATGGTACATGAAAAGTTGACTGATTTGGGGTACCATTGCTCCGCCACTGTCCGAGGCTGAGGGGTTGCACTGTGCTAAAGAAATGGAGTCAAATTGATGCTCAGATGAGCTGAAGGAAAGATGTCCTGCAACTCCGAATCCTCATTCCTCATTGCCAATAAAAGCAGACTGATCAGTGAACTCTGTGTAGCAACTCTCTCTGTCCCTCCTCCTCTTCCAATCTCTTCGATCCTCTTCGTCTGCTCAGAGTTCCACGACTAGCCTTTGCATGTGTCATTATGTGGGTTCACAAATTGGTTGGGGACCCATGTGGTCAAACCTTCAAATTGTCCATCCATCATGGGCTTATTGTCACTATAAGTCCTCATGCTGTTGAGAACTCGTGTTCTGATCATGCGGCTCACGAATCAAAAGCCAGCTTTCAGCTCGCAGTTCTTGATCAGCTCGACCGGCGCAGACACAAATGGCCAATTGTAGAGGTATGTCCGAAGAGGAAAGCCAATCCTGGCCAGGTTCTTCCCCACAAGCAAAGGGATGGCTTAACCTAGAGATTGTCCCGCCAACCAAACGTTTGTGATGCCAACAGAAGTGACTCGAGTCTCTGACTATTTCTGCGGCTATCTCGTAGCGTGAACCCTTGTGGAGCGCGTGGAAGATGCTCATCAGATCGAGATTGACGTTACTTAGCACCGACCTCATTTCAAGCAATAGTGCGTTGTACTGGGAGCTTTATGTAGCAGTGAATGACAAGATGAAGCAGAAGGGTTGGACATGAAAATGGCACTGAAAAATGTGGAATCAACATCGTCCGTAAGAACATGATGTAAATGGAATTCAAAGGACTCCCGACACAGTGGAGCAAGAGCCTCGGTTGCCAGCCGCCTCTTTTGGCAGTCTTTTTCAATGACAGACTCCATGAACTAGGCACGCAACAATCGCTCTGGCCTGATGTATGACATTCCTGCAAGATGCTCTGAAGGGTGAATAGCTTGCATGAAGTGTAGTATACGACAATTCAGGTTATATGCTCTAACTCTCGTGGCAGATGAGAATTCGAGCAATGACGATGCTCCAAATAGCCAGTAAAACAAGAAGATTTTCTCTGATGATAGAAGGAAATTGGTGTAGATTGTCGAAATACTAGCCAATAATAGTAAGATGTGACGGCACTGAACATGTAAATATTTAACTCTCAGGGACCACGACTCAATTATCCTCTGCTCGTCCAGCGCTATGGATGATAACCCTAGAAGATCCACCTCACCTGCGAGGACAATAATAGGACAGTAATAGAAACTGGTAAACAAACATCCAAACGTTTTGCTAGTTCATCAACTGTTGTAACACATGCAGGATTATTTCACAATGCTAGTGTATAGCCTGATTGAACCATGCCAAATCACCGAAGCTATCATATCCCCCACAAATATTTTCGATTTTCTCCAAATTCAGCTGCTTCACAATCACTGTACTCCTATTGATTAGTATTAAATACTCTTTTCTTGACGTCCTGTTTTGCTTCAACCATTGCACTGCATGAGACCAAGACGAATGGCGGATTGAAGAGGAACACCCTTCCTGGCCAGGTTCTTCCCCACGAGTATCGGAAGGCTGCTCCAAGAGAGTGCCCGCCAGCAGTCACCGAGAGAGATTTTCCACCGTTTGTAGCGCGACCTTGCAGCACGAGCTCATGTGGAGCTTGTCGAGAGGCACATAATGTCCAGCTTGAAGTCCGTTAGCACTGTGGCTTGCTGAGGCATTGCGCCTGTATAGGCTACAACATAAGTCGGGGCAGATTGTACAAAAGGCCGAGCCCCCTGCTGGGTTGGAATCGGGAACTTGTAAAATGGCACCAAAGATGGTGGAATCGAAATCATATACGCGCACACGATCTAATTAGAAATCGAAGAATTCCCACCACGGTGCAGCAAGAGCCTGCGGTCTGTGCCGTCCTCATTGACTCCTTGAACTAGGTTCACGGCGGTCGCTCTCTGGTGATATGTGTCGTTCCTGCAAGAACCTCGGATTGTCAATTACCTTTCGGGGATCTGCATTATTGGGAATGTGGAGATGGAATTTGGCTAGGCTACATAATTTTAGTACCAAGTCAATCACACTGGGATGTGAGGTCCCTGAATGGCTAAACATGTTCCTCTTGGATGGATCACTGGTGATGTTCCTATAATTTGTCATAACTCCCAATAGCTCTGTTTGAAAATGGTCACCTCGTTGACACCAAAAATTGGAAAAAATTATCAAAACAGTCATAAACCTATTGCAATTATGCAATTCAGTCCTAAACTTTTTTTTTGTGCCAATTCAGTCCTAAACATTTTGCATTTGTGCCAATTCAGTCCATCTGGCCAAATTTGGCCGGCGAACGCTGACGTGGCAATTTTAAAATAATTTTTTAAAAATAAGTTTAATTAATTTTTTTCTATTTTTTCTTTTTTTGTCCATCATCTTCTTCAACCTCTAGCCAGTCGCCGGAGCAGCGATCGACCAGAGGCTGGGGCCAGCGGGGACGAGACCTCGTTAGATCTAGCAAGGCTCATCCTTGCTCGCATCTGGCGAGGTCGAGCGAGGCCGTCCTCGCCATCGCTGGCGAGGGGTCAACCTCGCCGACAACTGGCAAGGTCGGCCTCACTTGAAGCGACTGGCGAGGATGAGACCTCGCCATTGCTAGGCAAGGCCAACCTCGCCAGCCCTAGCCTCTGGCCAGTCGCTGATTCGGCGACCGGCTAGAGGTTGAAGAAGATGAAGGAAAAAAAAAGAAAAAAAATTCGAAAAAAGAAAAATATATATTTTAAAAATTGTCACGTCAGCATTCGCCGGCTGGCCAAAATTGGCCGGATGAACTAAATTGGCACAAATGGAAAAGGTTTAAGACTGAATTGGCACAAAAAAAATGTTTAGGACTAAATTGGCACAATTGCAATAGGTTTAAGATTGTTTTGGTAATTTTCCCCCAAAAATTACCAAGTTTTTGGTTATTATCGACAATTATCAGACTTAGTCGATTGTAGCAAATTTTGGTTAACGATGAATATAACAATTGACAACTTGAAGGGAATCGACAACTCACTAAAAAAGTCATTGACAACATCAGTTATGTGAACCTTTATCAAGACTTGAGAAGTTAATTGACAAAGTTATCTGAAGTGGGCAATCGACACAAAGACATAACTGCTGATAGTTATGTTTTGTTGCCGCTTATTTAGGGATTTTATAACTTTTTGTGGATAAGATTTTAGATAATAGGGATAACACAACTTCTTGTAATCATTGGAAGTTATTTATTTATTTGAATTCCAAGATTGTAACCACTGCATGTAACCGTCCATTGTGGGCTATAAATAGCCAGATCGTACTCCACATTATACTCTTCGTAAAGCTTGCTCCGATCAATCAAAGAACTCAATGTTCTCGCAAACTTATTTTTATCTTTACTTTTCCGCAGTTTAAATATCTTTCAATTCTCGTACTTTAGTTATAGTTTCAGATATCTCGTCGTCGATTAAATTCCGGCGCGTATCGTAGTTGTAGTTTTCAAATCTTCGTCGTCAATTAAGCTTCTCTCCGCTGCTCGCCACTATTTCAGCCTCCACTTCCTGCATTTACGCAGGACACCAGGCTCATGAATGTCTGCATAAGGAACAATTCTGCACAATGAATTAAAAAGCTTTTCAAGTCAAACCCCAAGCTCCAATCAAGAAAGACTTGCATCTGGTTTCACAGTACATCACAGCGAGACCTTGTGATGGTTGACTTGGTACGCCTAAAGAGAGCCGGGACTGAAGCTGAAGAGCACATGCCATTTGTGATTCTTTTCCCAAAAGTCTTATAAGTTGAATTAGTCAGACTCAACTTTTCTTGTTCTATCTCAGAGTAGCCATTCAGTTGCACGTTTGGCCAGTATATCGGATTGCATGTGCAGGTCAAAATTTCGAAAGAAAGAATGTGAAGGAACTAAGAAGGCCGCTAGCTGTTAGAAGCCACTTCTGATGCTGATTGTATATGGAAAACATAACAAGTACTCGACATCTTTCATCGTATTCGCGTTCTCACAAATCAAGGCGAGCATTTGTCTTGCTCACTGAAATCACGCGTTACTTTTCCACTCCTGCTTTTTGTCCTCGCGAATAAATACTGACTTGTCGAAAAAAGAGATTACGCGCTATTTAATCTAAGAACGATTTTAGCAGCAATTGGTGAAATTCGACATATTCTCTCCCACTGATATACGTCTCCAGTCTCCACAAGAAGCAGGGAGCCATGTAAAGATCTCTTGCTAATACAAACAATGTCTTTCCCATCTCTTTCTAATACTCCACTTTCAGTTTCTTTTTATGCTAAGGACTCTGATCAAGAGAGTAGGTTGAAGAAAAAGAAACGGACGATGATAGTTCTTCTTTATATAACAAACACAAATCACATTTTAGCACATAATTCTAACATTCGGTTGAATACAGAGTGAGTGAAGAGAAATGATTAAGGATGATGTTATAACAGGATTCCACATGCATGGAGCTCAACGTTTCACAGTTTCGCAACAACTTTCCGTCCACGCCCTTGCTGAGTGTGTCTTGGAGGCATTTCGATCATCTCAAACTTCCTTTCCTTTGGCAAGAACCTATGCAGCACGGACCGACATTGAGTACGATTATCCCACCACTGCTCAATGCCATGCGCCAGTTTAAAATCTGGAGATGGACACAGATTGGTAGTGAGACAGGCTGTAGGGAGGGTGTCAATTGATTCTGCATCCGAATCCCTCCTGGCCAGGTTAATCAGTGAATTTTGCATTGCGATCATCTCTACTTTCCCTGCTCCGATCAATTCCATCAGTGTTCGAAGCTCAAAGTAACCTATGTAACCCGAACAGAGATCATCTTCAGGATTCACAAACAGGTTGGGTTCCCAACAAGCTAAGACTTCAAACTTGTCATGTACTAGAGGCTCATTTTTGGGAGGGTTCAGAGCGCCGGCAGTTGCAGCTTTAAGTAACCTGGCTAGGGTCATTAATTTGTCTCTTAAGTTGCGGTACTTGATACGTCCCAGCGGCACGGTCATGAACGGTGGATTGAATAGGTATGTCTTGAGAGCAAAATTCTTCCTGGCCATCTTCTTACCCACGAGTACCAAGATGGCAGCACCGAGAGCATACCCTGCCAACCACACATTAGGTGCCCGGACCGAATGCAAGAGATGCTCCACCACTCCTAAAGCAGACTTGAAGCGGGAGCCCCTGTGGAGCATATTCGAGACACACATCGCAACTAGCTTGGAATCGCATGCAGAAGTGGCCGGCGTAAGCATCACTCCTCTGAGGGCGATGACATAAGCTGGGGCATTTCTTGCCCGATCAGGAAGCACGAATTTGTAAACGGCGCCAAAGATAGTGGAATCAACCTCATCTACTAAAACGTGACATAACTGGAAATGGAAGAACTCCCACCATGGCGGAGCGAGAGCCTGGGATCCCTGCCGTCCCCTCTGGCGATCCCTTTCCATCACGTAAACTCCATTAACTAAGCTTGCAACAACAGCTCTGCAGTGATACGCATCGTCCCTATAAGATCCTCAAAAGTCAGATCACTGTTTTAACATCGGTTAATTGGAAATTTGGAGATGAGGGCAGATTAGATGGATTTCATTACCAGTCAATGCGCCTGAGATGTGATGGCCCTGAATGGCTAAACTCATCCATCTTGGGTGTATTACAGCCGACGCCCTTGAGAGAAGGTACTGTTTCTGGGAATGAACGGTCACATGCAACAAAACTATATGACCTTCATTGAAAAGGAACAAAACAACCGAGTACCTCAACGCATCAGAAAGGGGGTGATATTTCAAAGACACCAACTGGTCATGTAAATACGTACCAGTGACATTTTACTTTGCTTCTACATTAGTTATGTTTCTATCACCAACCTAGGGGCATAAGGTGTAACAATCTGCACTTTCTAAATATCCTGACTTCTGATTTCTGAAATCTGCACTATCTTCTAATTCTCACACATGTTTTTTTCCATGATAAAGCGAGAGCGACCCAAATGTAATTAGACTTGTACCATTAAGAAAGGAATGTTCAAATGTGCATTACTATGGAAGAGAGAAATGTTGTTCAAATGTGCATTACTAAGGAAGAGAGAAATGTACAGTACACACAGTTACCTGCTACAGGTGAAATGTAAACGATGTGTAGAATCACTCTTAGGGGGCTATCTTCTGCAGCAATGCCACTTCTACCTCCCTCATTTCCTGTATTTATGGAGGCCACAGGAGTTGATGACTGTCAGAGAGCGAGAACTTTGCAATTTGTACAAAATTAAGGGTGTGTTTGTTTTGTGGAAAAATAAATGATTTGTGAAATATTTTCCTAAAAACGATCGCTTGAATTACTAATAAAAGAAGAATGAACAAAATATATTTTGATCGTTCACGAAAATATTTAAATATAAATTGTTATTGATATTGAAAACATTTTTCATCGATCAATTACTTCAAGAAGCGATTATTTTTAGGATTTTATTTTTCGCAAAATAAATGGAACCTAACAAAGCATGTAAGTCAATGTGCAGTGCATGAATCAGCCATGTGATGCAGAAGGAGAACCGAATTCGAAAGTCAACCAACATTAATTTTCTCTTTGACTAGTTAAGTGCACGTTTGGCCAGTGAATAGGATAGCATGTGCTGGTCGAAGTCAAAGTTCTCAAGTAATTAGAGTATATACTGTATATCATTGTGTGCTCACAAGATCCAAACCTTAATGAATATTTCCCAACCAATTTGATCACCTTTCGACTTAATGCATATCTCGCTCGGGCGTATATTAATTCAGATGCATTAGCACCTCTTGCGCAGCCGTAACGTTTTCCTGTTTTTTTCCAATATTATACTGATATTGCTTGGTGTCGAGAGACTTTATTACTTAAAATTATCTGTTTGGATAAGTGTACTGAAAATCCTAAAATTTATCACGAATTACAATTGAGTCATAAAACTTACAAAAAGTACAAATTATCAAATTAGTACAATCGTGTCGTTCCATTAAGGGCCCAATTAAAAAAAAAAGCACCAACTTTAGGTTGAGTGACAATTCTAGCCCCAACTTTTTTTTGTCTCGTAAAAAAGCACGAACTTTAGGTCGAGTGATAATTCTGACCTCAACTTTCTTTTGTCTCATAAAAAATCACAAACTTTCATTTAAATCCCAAATCTAACGCCCTTGACTTAGAACTATTGATTATCCAACTTGACTATTCCACCTCAGCAATAAATCCACGTGGCTTGCTGAGTGAATTTAAAGCACTATTCATTGTCTTCTTCTCCGAGCCATAGCTTGAAGAATAACGGCGAAACTGTTGATCTCATTCACTTCACTAGCAAATCAAAAAGATCTCCAGATTGAATCTCTCTTGTCAGAGTTCGTCGTTTTGTCATAATCTGAAGTTATTGACCACCGCCCGTCGACAAATGCCATAGACGAGATCTGTCAAGCTCACAACTATAAACTTTTTTCTCAAATAAGGGTGACTTCAGAGAGAGAGAGAGAGAGTCAAAGGGGGGCTAGATTTGGGATAAGTGTGAAAGTTGGTGATTTTTTATGAGACAAAAAAAAGTTGGAGCCAAAATTGTCACTCGACCAAAAATTGGTACTTTTTTATGAGACAAAAAAAGGTTGGGGTCAGAATTGTCACTTAACCTAAAATTTGTGCTTTTTTTTTGGAATTAACCATTTCATTAAGTCCGTCCAACTTTGCTAACAAAAAATGCTAACGTAGTTTTTTTTAATATTTTCACTTTCTTACGTGGCAATGACGCGGCTAAAACATAAAGCATATAGTTAAGATGACCTCGTTTTGGTCCAAATCCAATTTTTTTCAAAATTATACGTATATTGCTTGGTATCGGGAGACTTTCATAATTTAAATGGTTTGTTGGGAGAAGTGCACTGATAATTCTAAGAAACCCACTGATCATGTAAATACGTGCCGGTGACATTTTACTTTGCTTCTACATTAGTTATGTTTCTGGCACCAACCTGGGCGCATAAGATGTAACAATCTGTACTTCTTTCTAAATATCCTGACTGCTGATTTCTCAAATCTGCACTATCTTCTAATTCTCACACATGTTGTTTTCCATGATAAAAGGAGAGCGACCCAAATGCAATTAGACTTGTTTTATTAAGAAATTGGAATGTTCAGATGTGCATTACTAAGGAAGAGAGAAATGTGCAGTACACACAGTACCTGCTACAGGTGAAATGTAAACGATGTGTAGAATCACTCTTGGGGAGCTTCCTTCTGCAGCAATGCCACTTCTTCCTCCCTCATTTCCTGTATTTATGGAGGCCACAGGAGCTCGCGACTGTCGGAGAGTGAGAACTTGGCAATTTTCACAAAACTAAGTACGCATTTTTTTCGCGAAAAATAAATGATTTAGACTACATTTTTCTGAAAACGATCGCTTGTATCGCTGATAAAAAAAATGAATAAAATCTAACTCCATTGTCCACGGAAATGTTTATTAATGAAAATATTTTTTATAGACTAATTATTTCAAGCGAGATAAATGATGATGTTTATGAAAATATTTTTCAAATCATTCATTTTTAGCGAAGGAAATGGAATATAAAAAAAACTTGTAAGTCGATGCGCACTGCATAAATCAACCATGTGATGCAGAAGTAGAGCCGAATTCAAAAGTCAACCAACATTAATGTTTTCTGACAAGTCAGGTGCACGTTTGGCCGGTGAATTCGATGGCATGTGCTGGTCGAAGTCAAAGTTCTTAAAGTAATTAGAGTATGTACGAACGCACAAGATCCAAACCTTAATGAATATTTCCCAACCAATTTGATTACCTATTGACTTTAGGGTGAATCAAAGTGGGGAGCCAATGCATATCTCGATCGGGCGTAAGTGGTTCAGATGTATTCGCACCTCCTGCGCAGCTGTGACGGTTCAATATTACACGTACGTATATTGCTCGGTGTCGAGAGACTTTCACACTTTGAATTGTTTGTTGGGATGATAAATGCACCAGAAGTCCTAATATTTATCACAAAACTGCAGATGAGTCTTAAAACTTATAAAAAGTGCAATCAAGTCCTAAAACTTATTAAATTTATACAATCGAGCCCTTCTATTAACTCCGTTCAACTTGGCTAATAGAAAATACTGACTTGGCTTAAACATGAAATATAAGGCTAAGACAATGTCGTTATGGTCCAAATCTGATTTTTAATGCAAATTTAAATTTAAATTAAATTAAAAATAAGATAAATGAAAACCCTAATTTCGTTGGCCGCCACACGATGAAAGTTGTCCCATCGTTATTCCGCGAAATCAAATCGTCCAACGCCGGATCGTCCACGAGCTGGTAAGTCTTCGTGAGTAATGGGGTCAGAAGCGACTTTGTGAGTTGCTAGCTGCCAGCGAATTCCCAATCTGCTCCCCTAGCATCAGTGAGGGTCGCGGCCACTGGCCGGGGCCCGAACCAGCAATGGTGGGGTGGCAACGGCAAGGGCTGATTCCTAGCCCCCACTATTTTTTTTTTAATTTAGCTTTTTTTTAATTAATTTAAATAAATTTTGTATTAAAAATCAGATTTGGACCAAAACGATGTTGTTTAAGGCTTATGTTTCATGTTTTAGCTATATCATCGCCACGTGAGAAAGAGAAAATATTAAAAAAAAGTCACGTTAGCATTTTCCGTTAGCCAAGTTTGACGGAATTAATGAAAAGACTCGATTGCACAAATTTGATAAATTTTATGACTTGATTGCACCTTTTACAAGTTTGAGATTCAATTGCATTTTCATAACAAATTTTGAAATTTCCGATGCATTAATCCCTTATTTGTTAGTACTCTTTTTCTCTGTTTCGTTGTGCGGATTGATTCATGAACCAAAAACCATTAGGTATTTGCCAGGATGTCATAGAAACTGAAATGAATCTAATCGAGTTCTACGTTCCATCCTTTCTGAACCAAGCGCATCTTGACTTCCACAATAAGATCCCTGTAATCCCAAATTAATCATCCATTTGAGCAACTTCAGTTAGAGTCAATTTGTGATAAAAAGCCACAACTTCGGTCAAATAAATTCCCCTTTTTTTCTTCTCAGGCCACTTTGCAGAAGGTCTTCAAGTTAGCTATTGATCCTTTCCCTAGCTAGAAACATTCCTCATGCGGATGCAGGCCCGGCGAGTGTGTTTTGAGCGATAATGGAAAGGTGTGTGATAGATGAAAGATGGATTACAAGGCTTAAAGGATGCGTCACTAGCTAAGGATAAAGATGACGAAATTCACCAACAAGGTTGATAAAGGATTTCGGGATAGAAGAAGCTCACCAACAAGACTTGAAGGATAACCACCAATTTCCCCGGCCAGTCCTAGCATTTTACGATATATAAAACAAAAACAACCCTCAAATTACACTAGCGCGAGAACACGCGGCACTATATAACAAAATAGAGCAGCGGCCCCCGGAGGCCATCCTCTCCTATTTATCTATCCTATATTATCTCCTTGATCGAGAGAGGAAAAAAAGCCTAAACCCTCTCCTCCTCCTCCTCCTCCTCCTTCCTCATTATCAGCAGGCCACACTATTCGGCGCTCACCACCTATGATGTCTATAACACACGCACACATGCGAACCAACTGAAAGCGCCCCCGCACACCCCGCACGGGGGGACGGGGACAACATCCATCGAACGACCGAACCCAACTACGATCGATCGATCGATTGAACGATCGATCGACGGTCAAAGTTCGATCCCGGTCGCGCGGGCGCGGGACGCCCACAGAGTGAAAACGAAGATGCCGTTTCCATGCCCACCAAAATCATTGTTGTTTTCATTGGAAAAGGCAACAAAAGACTGACCAATGGCCAACTAGCTCGACATGTAGCTTTGAAATTCTCCACCATCTACCTGATAATTTTTGCTTCAGAAGCAAAATTTCGGCGGATGTAGTGGTCGTAATAATTTGGGACCCATACCAATACCATCTGAGGATAGGAAATAGATCTTTCAAAAAAAGATTTGGAGGAAGCACTCAAACGCCTTATACGGTTCCTGATATTTTGGTCAAATTGGTACTCAAGAGGAGTCAATTGACAGTAGAGTTGCATTTTTCAAGAACTTCGCTTTTTATGTCAGCTTTGACAAACTTGAATCCATACAAGTTGATCACAGAGCACTGCCTCTGACTCTGAAAGGTGCCACCATTCATCACATGTCACTCAAAGTTGAAATGCCTCGAAGCCAAAGGCTCCAGGTAAGCCATATTCCAACTTAAGATGAGTTAGGGTCATGAGATTAAATCAACCACTGCTATCCCAACTAATGACCGTGCAGGAAAGAAGATCTAAATTGTATTAACTTGTGAGATGATACAAATGAAAGGAGGAGGCCTCTATTTATATAAGTATGGATTGAATCACAGCCGTAGATTGCTTCTTCGATCTAACGGTGGAGATCTACCGCTTTATGTACATTTAACGTATTGCCCACCCTTAGGAATATCCTAAATAATATGCTAGGTATCTTCTAGGGAATAATTTAGACAATATTTTGGAGTATAAAAATAATCCAAAAATACATAGAAAATTTGAGGGTCCCACTTCTTTTTGAATTATCCACGGTCCGGAGACCGTGCCAATTGGAGCTGCCTCTTGAACTGAAACCCACATCAACTGCATCTGTGGTTTTTCACTTTTTTTGGGGGCGGATTTTGCGATTTTGAATGTGGCTTTGTTTTCGAGCCATTTCCCTTTTTCTTCTTTCTTTTTTTTCTAATGAAGAAGTCATCTTTGGAGTGACTTTCGCTACTTTATGAGCTTTAGCAGTTGTTTGTTCTTGTTTCCTCAGTAACAATAGCTTCCTATACTTGTCATTTTGCTTGGGTTGTTCACAATTGGTTCAAGGCAATTAGGAAATGTGCCTAGATGTTTATAGCTAAAATAAAAAATCTGGGGGTTTGTTTGACTGAATAATTCAAAATTGCTCTAAAACAAGCGTGCTTGTTACAAACAAACGTGATGTTTTAGTTACTTTTCACTTTTTGCTCCATACTTGTTGAAGCAAATTTAAAAGCATAAACACTAACTCCTCACATAGAGCTAGTCAGGTTAATGTTCCGACAACTGAAATTTTCTCGGAAGGGATGTAGTCATCAATGGAAATGGCCTACCCGGACCGTATCTCCAAGCAAGTATTTATATAGACGAGGTCTGTTGAACCAAATTAATCATATTTCATATAATCTTTCGAATACGCAGCTCAAAATATGATAGATCACATCATCAAATTTGTAAAATATATCATCATTTCATTTGGGGCATTAAGTTTGTATTTGGAATTGGTTACGAACTTGGCACTACAGTCATACCATTGCTGATAAATTAATTTGTTAGATTATAGATTGTACTAGTTGATAATAGTTCAACTAAATAAGACACTTAAGCTTAACCTGATAAGAATGATCCAAATGCAGAAGATTTACTGCGTTTGTGGGTATATTTCATTATGTTCAAGCGGATTTATGGGCATTGTGGCACGGCCTGAATCTGGGTTTATTGGAGATTACTATTGATTTTCTTGGACTCTAAAACCATTTTGGATCTTCTTTTCAATAAAAATTTGGATGAATGTGATTCTTTGCCACTGCTTGGGGATATATCTCGATTCGTTCATGGAGAATGGAAGATCGAACTACATCATGTTACGGATGAGATTACACCTCTACTTATAGAGGAACTAAAGTATAGAAATAGCCAAACATGTAATGACATGGGAACTAGTTAAACATTAAAGACGTGGGAACAACCCTAATATTAAAGACATAGGAACTAGAAAGTCCAATACAGATCTAGGAACTAGAGAATAAATTAAAACACAAAGAAATTTAAACTTTGACTTTTCCAAATTCATGCACCAGCCTTGGAAATGGAACAAACACCTTCGGCAATGGCAATCGACCAAAACAATTTCTTATTGCTAGGTAGTCAGATTAGTAGCCTCGAAATCGACAACAAAAGGAAATCAACAACTCCTTTGTAGAATCGACATCCTCAAGCAAGGACCCATCGAATCAAGTCGTGCCCAAAATTGGTCTTTTCACGCACGAATAAAGATTGAGTCGGATCAATCGACGAGGTCGGAATTGAACCTGAGAGTCGATCGGTGGAAGCCGGTGCTCCCGCATCAATATCCTATACTAGAGTGGCAAAAGGCAAGCTAGGGGTCTACTTATAGAGTTACCAGCTTGCGATTCCAATACACCATTCGCAGCGAAGGACAAAAAGGGAGCCGATCTTTCTATGGGTGAGCCTAATCAAGCCTACACCAACGGATCAATCGCAGTTATTACCTCCTCTCCAGAAGTTAGGAACTGCTAAGACCAGGTACTACTTTGGAGCTAGGATACCCGTACAGCAGTGAATGAGTTCATTAATCTGATTAATGCCCAGCGAATGAAAGAACTCCCTCAATTGTCCGGTTCTAGGAATAAAGCAAACTAGGTGGGCTCAACACTACTGGAAGCTCCAGCTCTATATAAGTCAGTGCAGAGCAAATTTTTTGCCGAGAAGAGCGATTACTTGCACCATTTGAAAGCAAGACGACGATCTCAGAGGAATCAGGGATGATGAGAATGAGCAAAGCCCATGTTGATCTTTCCCCCATCAAGATAGAGCAAGAGATGGTGAAGAAGGTGGACAAAGAGGAAGTCGATGAGCCATTGAGTCCGAAAGCTCGTCTGTTCCATGCCCCTGGATTGAACTGCTGCGTCGTATCGATGTTGGGCAGTCGAACGAAGCTGAACGTGGATGCCATCAAAGTTGGCTTAGAGCACCCTCCGCATCCTCACTTCTCCACTGTCCTGGTAAATCAATATGCAAATAAGCCGTGATGGTTATGGCAGCGATAATTTCCTCCCAACCATCCGTGAATTTTAAAGAACTGCGAATGAAAATTTCGTTATATTCACGTATCAATTCAAGTACAATCGCCTCGTTGAACTTGGGTTTTTTCTGGACGTTAATGTGCGGAATAGAAGTCCCTTAACTAATTGATAAGAGAGGACTCTAAAATTTGTTTGTTCATTATATTACTTTTTAGTTAGCATAATCAGACAAACATTTTCTCTCTACTTGCACAAACAAGATGAAACATGAACAAATATGATGATCAATGTCAACGTGAAGAGAACTGTTGTGTTAGGTCATGGATGACAAAAGGCGAGGGGAGATGAAATGGCGAAAAACCAAGATTGACGTAGATAACCACGTGATCGTCCCGAGTATAGACCCCGACAACATCAAATCTCCGGACAAGTTCGTGGAAGACTACGTTGCCAACCTCACAATGACCCCCATGGACCTGTCCAAGCCACTTTGGGAGCTCCACCTCCTCAACCTGCAGACCTCTGATGCCGAGGCCGTCATCATCCTCCGCTCTCATCACTCCATCGGCGACGGCGCTTCTCTTATGTCCTATCTCTTTACCAGCTCTCACCGTAAACCATCTCTACCTCATAAGTCGTCACTCAAGGATAAGAAAGAAATCGAGAGAGTTGGTTTTTGGCGACGGTTCCTTGATATGGCGCGATTGAGTTTGCAAATGATTTGGAATACATTCGTCGGTGTTTGTTTGTGGCTGGCGACGGCACTCTTTCTGAAAGACACGGAGACGCCAATCAAAGGAGGCGTGAGGGTGGAGCTCAACCCTAAGAGGTTTGTCCGGAGGACGTTCACTTTGGATGACATAAAGCTAGTGAAGAATGCCATGAACGGGGTACGTGTAGTCATACGTGCTTTTCTCTTTGTTTCCAATGCTAATTTATATCAATTTGGTCGTGCAAGAATCTCATTCTCTTAAACCTTTTTTCCATGCAAACTCCCTGGCAACATTTCGCGCTATTCTGCCCACGGATGATATACGCCAATCAGACCGTGAACGATGTTTTGCTTGGAATAACAGAAGCCGGTCTTTCTCGCTATCTCAACAGAAGATATGGTTGGTCTATCTTACTTTCCCCTTTTTTGCTAACAGTTCTGGTTGATGTTGAACATGCAACATTCGTTTTAAAGAACTACTTCCACCATATCGGATTATCTTAATTTGGGTTATTAGCACAAAGTCTGGATCACGTATATCACGCATTGTTCTTGTGGGATGTATGATGGATCTCGCTCTACCGGCTGTTTTTAATCACTTCATACATACATCAGCAGGAGAGGACGACAAAGTTACCAGTGCATCAGCCAAGAAGGACAACCTTCCCAAAGATATACTTCTCAGGGCAACACATTACGTGAACTTAAGAATACCACCCACTGAATCAAAGGTATGTTTCCACTGGACACAAAGATGAACATTATTACCATAATCTCGATGAAATATTGTATGGTCTATAGATTATGTGGACCAAGCCCATCTCCATTTGGTCATTGGTCGACCTTTCATGTCTTAGTTGATTGCGCAATTTAAGCAGGCTTCGGCTCATACTGAGGATGAGAAAAAAATCAAGGTCGTGACAGGTACTAAGGTTGGGTATATCCTCCTCCCTTTCTCCATAGCCATGCGAAATGACCCTCTTGAATATATTCACAATGTAAAATCCGCCGTGGATCGGAGGAAGTCGTCCCTCGAAGCTTCCTTCTCATTGTACATTACAGGCATCCTCCTCAAATACTTTGGCTTTAAGGTACTATATGTTCCAAGCTAGAAAGAACAAACTGTGCCCAGAACATAAAAAGAATAGCACGAAGTTTGAACTTCTGGTAACATGATTGGCAGGCAATAGCTGCACTGTACTACAGAATACTCTCGAACACGACGATGACATACACAAACATGGTCGGATCGTTAGAAGAGGTGGATTATTTAGGGCATCCCTTGACTTACATTGCCTTCGGCACTTACGGTTACCCACGCGTAAGCATACATCATTAACTAGTTCTTGCCATGATAGTTGAAACGTGATCTTCTCTTTCCCTGCAAAAAATTCATTTATCTGTGCTTGCTGGTGCTACATTTTTCTGGTGCACAGACATTGTCGATTCACTTCATAAGCTACATCAAGAAGATGACGATGCTCATAGCGGTCGATGAGGGCGCGATTCCGGATCCTGACCAGCTCTGCGACGATATCGGAGCGGCTCTTCAATCGGCCAAGGATGCAGTGATTCAAAGGGGGCTCGTCAACTAGTCACCAGATATCATCTTTTGCATTTTTGAAGTCGTTTCTTAGTAGAATCTCTTCTTGTGTCGCTCATCTTGAAGTCGAAACTCGTGACTTCCATTTTATTCCCACGAGTTAAGTACACATCCACACGCCTAAGGTACCATGAGATTGATCAAGAATTAAGGATGGCTCCTTTTTATGATAAAATTGTGATTAGTCCACGTATATTTCTATACCTATATTACATATTTATGGTAAAACATATATTTTTCTCGGTTAGTCTATGTTTCATTACTGCCCTTGCATCAAAATATATAATAATAAAAACAATCTGTTACTCTATTTTTACAAAGTAACCACCAATTCACAAATTTGATGACTAGCCACTGGCCACTAGATCCACTCGATTACATAATCACCCAATTTCCGTAAAAAAAAATGATTTCTTTTTTTAATGCACGTGAGTAGCGCTAGTCTCAACACTAGTATTTACTTGAAAAACTTATAAATTATCTTTTGAACGATGCGAGAGTTCATCTTTGGAGCCAACTATCGGCTTTCCGCTCACTACTGAACCAACGACGTACAAACATCTTACAATGTGTATATAAAAAAGACACACGAGAACCAATATTCATATTCAGGCTCCAATTGTTTTGCCAAAAATAAATAATTTGGAAAAATGAATGAACGAAAAAATATTCATCTTCCACGAAATATTTAGATATAGGTTGTTGTTGATAAAAATACTCTTCATTGACTAATTATTTCAAGCGATATAACCTATCATTTTTAGGAAAATGTTTCTAAAAACATTCATTTTTTTGCAAAACAAACATAACCTCAAAGTTCAAATATTTTCTTGAGCTGTATATAATTCGATGTTTAGTACTTGGTAACCTCCCATATATGCTATGTGAAAGTTCTCTTTAGAAAGATCTGCCTTGAATTGAATTGAAGTACCTTGCTTTTGGCTTCGGGCCTGATAAAAGTGAGGCACCCCTTTTGCTGATAGCTCTAAGCTTAAGGTTGTAAATTATAGATTTTCAATTCCTTAATTTAAAATTTCAAAATTTCAAAATTATCAAATTAATACAGAATTTTAGCGTTTTAATATAAGGAATTCATTTACAAGTGCCTCCATGACATTTGTTGAGTAATCAAACAAAGAAAAATTATAATTTTCAATACACTACTTTCCCATTTCATGTATAATTAATGCTTTAAAAATAAAGACATTTGTCATTAAGTATATACTTGTTAAGTGTATTATGGCACTCGTTAAAAAAGACTCTTATATTGGCTAGTACTTATGATTTTTTTTGTAATATAAGAATATGAAAGATAAAACTATCTATTTCAATTATTAATTCGAAAGTTAAAAGAATATATCTCATTCCGAAAATAAACAGATATTTTTCCAACTGATAATGTTTCTATTAGGAGGAAGAGTAATAGTAGGATGGAAAGGATGTTTTGACTTAATAAGCTTACTAGTCTTCATGTACGCACTACTGTGGCAACCCTTCCGTAGCAGTTTGGGGAAAACAGGTTTAGAGATAATGTCAAGTGAAGGATCAACAGTTCTCAATTGGCGCAAGTTCTTGCCAAACTCTTACCTTGCGTGACGTTTTGGGATTTTCATTGTAATTCGATTTAACCTATAAGGATTTTATAAAAGATGCCACTAGCCTATTGGAGTCGGCTAGAAACCAAGTAAGGCATGAGAGGATACCTTACTTTCTACATAACAAGAATTCTAGGGTTGGGGACTTGGTTACGCTAGTTATTCAAACTAATGTCATTTCGGTACCCTAACTTAATTGATTTGTTAACTAAGTATCCACACAGTCTTTTTACCAAATTATAAGTCCTAAATATCTATCCATTAAGCGTCCATGCACTGTATTTTTGTGTTTATTATAATCCTAAAAATTTAACATAACCATTTAACTAGAACAAGCAAATCATGATGCAAAAGCAATATAAAAAGGTTGCAACCAATTCATCGAAACATTAATAAAAGAAGAATGAGAAAATGACACAAATAATCCATGAACTTTAACCTAATGAATAATGTAGTCATTGAACTTTAACCGGATGTACAATGTGATCCCTGAACTTTTAATTTGTTTAATGTCATCCATGAACACTTGGTACATATTCAATTTAGTTCATGAACTATATGAAAATGTTTAATGTAATTCTTCCATTAATTTAAATTCAAGAACTACATTGACTATTTTTATATAATTCAAGGACTACATTGAACATGCACCAAAAGTCTAGGGATCACATTGAACAAATTAAAAGTTTATGGATCACATTGAACATTAGGCTAAAGTTCAAAGACTACATTGAACATAGGGGTTTCAAAGCCAAATCATGTACCTGAACCCGAACATGAATCGACCCGACCCAACCCGAAATTTTCGGGTCCTCCGGTTCGGGTTTTGTTTGTGTTCGGGTATACGGCTCTAAAATGGGTATCGTCATTGTTTTGGTTCGGTTCATGTTTGTACTCAAACCTAATCAAAACATGTTAGAAATAAAGTTGCGTTGCCCGCATCATATTCTGGGAAAGAGACAAACGCTATGCGTAGCAATGCTAAGGGCGCGCATGGAATCCATTATGGAGTAGAAATTCTGCTCCAGAATGCATTCCGGAACAGAAATGCGTTTGTTAAAAAATTTCCGGAATGCATTCTGGAGCAATTTTTGCATTCTGGAATAAAAATACGTTTGTTAAAAATACTTGATTCCAGAATGCATTCTTGATTCTAGAATGCATTTTTTGGCAAGAAAAAGAGAATCTACTTTTTGTAGCTTCTCTCTTCCAGAATTCATTCTCCCTATTTTCTCTCTTTTTCTCACTAATTTTTTTTTAGAAAATGCATAAAAATTGAAAAATTCCAAAAAAATTCATAAAAATTTCCAGAAAATAAAAAAAGTCAGATTTCGAGAAAATAGGAAATTTGGTGAATTTTTTTCAAAAAATATAAAAAAATCAAAAATTTCAAAACTTCACAGAATGGTTTAGAATACCTTTGGGCACTAACTTTGAGTGAAATTTAATTTTTTTGATGTGCCCAAAAAAATTAAAAAATCGAAAATTTCAAAACTTCACAAAATGGCTTAGAATACCTTTGGGCACCCACTTTGAGTGAAATTTAATTTTTTTGAGGTGCCCAAAAAAAATAAAAAAATCAAAAATTTCAAAACTTCACAAAATGGCTTAGAATACCTTTGGGCATCCACTTTGATTGAAATTTAATTTTTTTTAGGTGCCCAAAAAAATAAAAAATTTTAAAATTTCACAAAATGGCTTAGAATACCTTTGGGCACCCATTTTAAGTGAAATTTATTTTTTTGAGGTGCCCAAAAAAATAACAAAATAAAAAAAGATTTCTGTTCCAGAAATCAATTTCTGGAGCAAAATTAGTCATGTTTTATCAAACAGATTTCTTCTCCAAAAATCAATTTCTGGCAAGAATTCCGGAAATCAATTTCTGGAGCAGAATGGTTACCATTCGCGCCCTAAGGAACCAGTAGAAATCCCATCCATTACTGTGCATCGCCGCCGCCAACACCCATCACGGCCTCCGCACCATTCAACGCAGTTTGCCTTCTCTAGCGAGACCCCAACCCCTTTGGCCCCTATGATCTCTCTTTGATGTATCGCTACCAAGGTCAACGGGTCGTCCATTCCCACTAGACCTCGGCCTCGCCATCCATTCTCGATGACCATGGAGGAGCCGTCGCCTCTAGATATAGAGGGTTGACGCCTCCATGGCCCATCGAGCTGCCAGATTTGGTCTTCGAGCTTCAAGATTTACATGTCGAGCTTCAATAGGTGGTGCTACTATGATGCCAAGTTTCGTGTGCTGTGGGTGGTTGAGAGAGAGGAGGCTTTCTCGTTGGTGGCGGCAATGGCGGCCGAAATGGCGTGGCGGAGCTTGATGGTGACAGACGGTGGCTGGAGGTGATGAGACAGGCATTCAAGGGTAGAGGCTGGCGCTCGAATAGAGGAATTTTTAAGTTTGCTGATGTTATTAGGGTTTGAAAATTTTGGGAACAAGGAGGAAGAGAGCTAGGGAGGCATGTGTGCTTAGTGTTTTCCTTATCAAGCATCTTCACTGGATTTTAAGAGGTGGGTTAAAGGTTTGGCGTGTTAAAAAAATAAAACCCATAACCCGACCTGATTCCACCCGTTTTTCAGTTAGGTTCCATACGGTTCGAGTCTTGGGTCGGTTCACAAAAATGTGTTTCCTTTTATTTTCGGGTGGGGTCGGGTATCGACAAGATCCGACCCATTGACACCCCTAATTGAACAAATTAAAAGTTTAGAAATTACATTGCACAGTAAGCCAAAGTTCAGGGACTGTTTGTATTATTATCCCAGGAAGAATTAAAAGATAGAGTGCACTAAAGTAATCTAATATGAGTTAGTCAAAAGTATAACATGGCATTGTTATTAAGCCCTAAGACAGCAACCCCCATGAGCTAAGCTCAAACTGAACCCAATTTCTTACCTAAAAAATCAATTTACCAAAGTTAAGCTATATCAAGGGTATTCACTAAAACCCCTAAACTAAATGTATGCTTACTAAATGAAACTAAGCTAAGTCTAGTGCCAAAACTTAACAAATTAATCAAGGTCTCTATTTCTAACCATTTTCAATTTTTATTTTTCGAATTTTTGTTATTTTCTGAAAATAGGGATTCGGGCCGGGGCCGTTGGGCCGGATCCGAACATGGGCCAACTCGGGTCTCACGGGCTTTGGCCCTGGACACGAACAGGCTCTTACCTCAAGCCCAATTAAGCCCATCTGACTATTTCTTTTTAGCCTAATCTTCACTTCGTATCTTCTTCTTACTACTACAGACGTTCTCTTCCTGTTACAGATAAAGCACTCCTAAAACGAAACAATAACTCCGAAACATGCGCAGCTTAACCAGTAATCAACGCTCTCAAACTTCAAATCGATAATAACTTATCCATCACCGCTGATCACATACGTCCATCGCCGGACCTCGACTACCGGTTCCCTCCGGTGACTGGGCCCATCCAGTATATTCACGACCGCAGGAATGGTAGTTCAGAGCACGAATTGGAGAGACGAACTTACGTGAATATTTCACGAGATTGACCACCGTTCGTCGACTCCAATCATTATTTCTCAGGAACGTAAGCGAGACATGGAGCGAGATCACAGAAATTTGATGTTTGGATATGGTCTTGATAATAACGAATCACAATAAGGATCGAATTTGAATAATAATGGACTGACCGGTAACAAGTAATCTATGTTAAGGAACTCTTCAGATTGAACTGGATCGGGAATCGTTTCATCAACATTTCTCAAGAGGCATTTCATCAAACAATCGACGTGCACCGAAGTGACTGAATCTGGTCATGAAATCGAAGTTATGTTTCCGTCTAATATCAGTATCAGGACCACAAAGCTGTCACGAATCACCAAAATTCTATCGAGATCTCCGGTGATTTTCACATGGGCTACATGAACACCGCTTGGTTTTATATTTCACCGAAACAAGAGCAGAAGAAACGAGAAATGAAATTACCTCTTCAATGGAGGAAGGCAGAGATTCGACAATGGCTGAATCGATGACAAGAGCTGTGATTACTGCTGAAGCTCTACATTATAGCCGATGAATGAGATGTAAATGGGGTCTCGCCACTTCGAGATTTCTGGACGCGAAAACAGGGGGAAACAGAGCCGATTTCATGCACTTCCTGAAACGGGGCCCCTTTTGCTCTTCATGGGCTTCCATGTTCATATTACTCATTGGCTAAGGTTTGCAATAAAAGGGCTTTATTATCATCTCGTGGCTTCTTCGGTGAGCAAGCTTGTGAGTATAACTTGAGGGCTACAATTAAGGGGGCCTAAGTCAAATGGAGAAGTCCTTTTTGCTATTGATATACTTAGGGTTAATATTACGAAAAATTCTAAACTAGTACATCTGTAAGAATTTTACTCATAATTATTTTTTTTACTACGAAAAACTTCAAACTAGTACATCTGTGACAATTTTACTCCGAATTAATTTTTTGACCACAAAAAATCCAAACTAGTACACATATGACAAATTTGCCCTCCGTTAGTTTTCGTTAAATTTTATTGTCAAATTGCTAAGTTTAATGACACGTGATAGTTGATAGGTGTACCGGTTGGGGGTTTTACCCCTATGTTTGTCACAAGTTTACTAATTTGTGATTTTTCGTGATATTAATCCAATTTAACGGACACCAACGGAGAGTAAATTTATCACAAATGTACCAGTTTGAGATTTTTAGTTGTCAAAAAATTAGTTCGGGATAAAATTGTTACAGGTGTACCAGTTTGAGGTTTTTGGTGGTCAAAAAAATAGTTCAGAGTAAATTTGTCACAAGTGTACCAATTTGAGGTTTTTTGTGGTCAAAAAATTACTTCGGGGTAAAATTGTCACGGATGTACCAGTTTGAGGTTTTTCGTGCTATTAACCCAATATACTTATTAGGCTCTCTTTTGTTTTATAATTACATAGGCAAATGCCACAAAAAACCCTAAACTATGTCAACTGTGACAGATTACGTTAAAAAAACAAATTTGTGACACTAAAAATCGTAAACTTGAATCTGTGTGACACATTTACCCGTCATCAAAATTCTGTCAATGAAACCGTGAAAAATCTGCCTACATGAACACCAAAAAACAAATAGTGTTGACATGGCGCCCACATGGTTTAAGTGAAATAAAAACGATATTATTTTGGCTGAAAAATCATATATAAATGGGTCACATAGGTATAAGTTTGGGGTTTTTTTGTCAACAAGAATAAAGTTTATGGTAAATGTATCACAGTGCACGTAGTTTGGAGTTTTGATGTTACAAAAAAAAAGTTTGACGTCACGATGGGCATAGTTTGGAATTTTTTGTAATTGTTTCCCTAATTATGTTTATGCATGTTTAGTTTATCGACCAAGTTCGGTTGAACAACTACTCACATGCACGGTTGGTTTTCAATTCTTATGCGTGTAATAAATCGATAATAAAATTCATAATTTTGATTTGACAGAGAATTAAATGAGGCAGGCCTTCCAAACTAGATGAAGCTAGTTATTGCGTTGTAAAAAAAAAAAAAAACCACTGGGGGTTTACCCCAGTGGCCACCCTTCTCACTTGATAAGGGGGAGGTGGAGAGTTCAAATTCCCACCTTCGCAGGGGTAGGGGTGGGGCCGCGTAGTTTAAGATGTGGGTTTCGACGCTCACGCCCTGCAAGAGGTGGAGCGCAAGTCTGAGTGTGTATCGTGAGTGAGAGATAGAATAGGACCGACCAAAAAAAAAATTTAACAAGTGCAATTTTTTAGCGGAAATGTGAAAGTGGACAGTTAGCTCATCGAAGGATGAAACAGCTTAACAACCGGAGGAACAATTATATAATGGTTAAATGGGAAACCGAAAAGTGAGACAAAATCTAATTTTGATCTAAGCATATTAATATATAGATGATACATAATGTGTGATATAGAATTATAGTATTAGTGCCTAATTTATTTAAACAATCACTAAATAAGGGCATACACGTATTTCCTGCTTTCTTTATTATTCGAATTTAAAAAAACAATAAAAAGAATCGTATATATGGATTTACATGTCAACACTTTGAGTGTAAGTTGTGTAACGAAAGTTTCAAGATGTTTTGGATAAAAAGAAAAAAAAGTGTTTAACTGCGTGTAGTAGCAAAATTCAAATTAAGTAAAAAGTAAAAAAAAATCGATCCAAACAAACCTAAACAATTAAGCGATAAAATTGTCTAAATGCGCCAACTTTTCTACACTACGAGTAACCCTACTTTTCCGAAATTAAATCCCGATCTTATCGAGATTAATTCATTAGTAGGTAGGTCTATAAGAATACTCGTTACAAAATTGGGGGACGTAGATTATAAACCAGAAGACGAAATCTGACGTAATTGCAAACTTTTTCGGAAACCCGGGGACCGCTTCAGAATTTCGACGAAGTCGGGGGGGTGTCCTTCACAAGCAAAACCGCATCCTTCTGGAGTTCTCCACGAAGCCGTCAACGCCAAGTCGTCGAAGCCCAAACCCTTTAAAAACCCCAAAAGGACGCCGAGCCGAGCCTGGCGATCCGATTCGCAGCGCGAGAGAAGAGCAATCTCCGATTCGATCCCTCCCGGAGCTCACCGTCCATGGCGATCATCTCCGACTTCGAGGAGGAAGAGGAGAAGCAACCTGAGGCCAAGCCCTCGGCCTCGTCCTCGGCCTCGGCCTCCTCCTCTGCCGCGGCGGAGTTCAGCGCGAGGTTCGATCCGGCCAGCCCGCTGGGGTTCATCGAGAAGGCCTTCGAGTTCGTGGCCGAGCGGAGCGATTTCCTCGCGCATGAGGCGGCGGAGAGGGACGTCGCGGCGGTGTTGAGGGCGGTGAGGGAGAAGCAGAAGCAGAAGCTGAGGCAGGTCGAGAGGGAGAAGGAGAGGGAGCGGGAGAGGGCTAAGAAGGCGGCGGCGGCTGCGGCTGCGGCTGCGGCTGCTGCGGCGGCGGCTAAGAAGGTGGAGGAAGAGAAGAAGGTGCAGGAGGTGGAGATGAAGGATGCGGAGGAAGAGAAGGAGGAGAAGAGTGGAGCGATAGGTAAGAGCTTTTGATTTTTCTTGGACAGTGTCGTGATTTGTTGCTTGCTACGTATGAGCGCGATGAGTGCCTGTCGAGACGCTGCTGGGTTGAGACATCTGGGAGATTAGATGAGAAGCACATTACTTAGTGATCGCTCATGATGTGGCTCTTTTCTCCTGCTATAGTTAGGCTGTGACGGTTTCGTGGCCGTAGTCATCTATGTAGCTTGGATGTTTTCTCTGGTTGGCTATTTAATGGCGATGGGCAGGGGAAATGTTTCATTCTATTATGCTATCGATTTCGCTAAAGTGTGGATATTCTTTGATGGGTTCCTGCTCCTTTGTTCAGCAATCTGAACTCTCCCGAATAATTAAATTTCTCTTGTGTTGATCTCTCCTATAAGCTGTTTAAGCGTGCATTGGCTTATTCAAGTACTCTAGTGATGGAAGGTTTGCTGTAAGCTTCTTGCTTTTGGTTTTGGAGATGTCTTCTCGTTGCAGTGTTTGGTTCTTGCAAGTTTTTTTGCGTGCTTATGCTTGATTGGATCTCCCATTTTCCTTGGAAATTAGGAAAAGAAGCTACTTTGCAAGTGTAATCTTTGTTTTTTTTTGTCATACGAGCTCGAAAACTAGGTGATCTGATTATGGATCAACTGTAATCATAGAATGTCCGATTGTTTTGTGGAACTTTGGGATTGGTTAGTGCCTTTCCGCCTTTGGGATTTAGCATGGCTGGACAAAAGATTTAGGACTCATAATTAAAATTGTTAAAGACCAATTAAAATGTGATAACTTGACCACCTCAGCATCAACTTTTGATATGGACCAGTAGTTATGACTTTGACAATCCCCATACCCAAATTGTGAACTGAGCCTGATTTTAGCTCTTGCATTGAGTATGATTCAGATAGCTTTAGCTGAGATGACCAGTTAGGTTACCCAGTGTGCTTTGGAAAGTGCAACTCTATAAGAGACTGTCTTGTTATGATTCCTTTTACAAGGTGGATGCATATGTTTAGAAGACATATTGTGTAAAATATACCATGTTGCCTCCGTAGTTGCTCTGACATTGTTTCTGGTTGAACAGTGCCAAACAAAGGCAATGGCCTTGATCTTGAGAATTATTCCTGGACTCAGACTCTGCAGGAGGTTACCGTCCATGTTCCAGTTCCTAAGGGTACTAAAGGAAGGTTTGTGGTATGCGACATAAAGAAAAACCACTTGAAAGTTGGACTCAAGGGTCAACCTACTGTCATAGAAGTGAGTGTGCGTAATTTGAGTTTATTTAATCAGCTTGCTTTATTTACATAACTCTCTTGACCATGCACGATTACTTGCAGGGGGAGCTTTTCCAGACTGTCAAGCCTGATGATTGTTACTGGAGTTTAGGTGCGTAGTGGATTGAGTCAAGAATATCACATGGCATATGAATTCAAACACAAACAAGAATGATCTGCCTCCTGTTGTTAAGTTAATAGTATTATGAGTCAATTCCATGTTGCGCGATCATCTTAACGTTGTGAATCTACAGAGGACCAGAGTGCGATCTCCATTCTCCTGACTAAGCACAATCAAATGGAGTGGTGGAAATCTTTGGTCAAAGGGGATCCTGAAATTGATACTCAGAAGGTAGAACCAGAGAATAGCAAATTGTCTGACCTGGACCCAGAAACTCGACAGACCGTTGAAAAGATGATGGTAAGTGGCTCTCTTTCTTAAGCTCCTCCTGGGTATTAACTAAACAAACACACATTGCATGTATTTTGTTATGTGCATGTAGACGAGCACAATGCTGGTGGCCTTGGAGTGTTTGCATGTCTCCTTGCAAATACAATACTGACATTTTGCTTTTAACTTATCAGTTTGATCAGAGACAAAAGGCAATGGGTCTTCCTACCAGTGATGAGATGCAGAAACAGGAGATTCTAAAGAAGTTCATGGCAGAGGTGGATATTGGTTGCTTTTCTTATTGATGAGCGTTCTTGTATCTGTAGATCAACGTTGCTAATTTCTTCTTTCTGGCGACCTCTCTTGCAGCATCCAGAGATGGACTTCTCAAGAGCAAAGATTGCATGAGGGGGGATGTTCGACTGCTTCTTCTCTAGCTTGATCATACTATGATAAATCCGGAAATCATTGGATGTTTACTTTGGGCCCGGATGACCGAGCTTTTGTTCAATTGTTTTGGTGGTTTTAACAAGAGGCTTGTGGTTTGTTTTTCGAAACTCCCATCTTCTCTCTTAGGAGTGATCTGCTCTTGGTTCACAATTTTCTTTTTTCTTTTTTTATGACTGCTGAAAGAAGTTGCTACTGTTGAAACACTAATATGGAGAATCGTCTTGGTTGAGCACAATGTAGACATAATTGCAACATGGTCCTCACAAATAGGGTATAACGTGACACCACGGTTGGGACAATGGTCGGGATTGAGTGCGGTGTCTAGCCCAATTTCATGTCCTCGATTCTGCCACGACTCAATAGATCGTTCCGTGCCCTCATAAGGTAGGTTGGTCAAATGATCATGGAAACGTCGAATCATCATGTTTTGGCAACAAAACAAAAATGACCAAGTTATGTACCAATGAGGGATTTAATTTTATTACGCCATCTTTAAATGTTAAAAAGAACGCAATTACAGTTTTCAAATAGCTCTCACACTGTGTATCGTAGCATGTAATACACGTTTGTTTGATTTTTTTGGTCCGTTTCTATCCTATTTCTATGTTACAAGTCACGGTGTGGGTTATGTGTGTTCGTAGGTTTCGAAACCATTCTCCCACACTCACTCGCCCCCCCCCAATCCCTCCTAATAAGGTGAGGGACCGAACTCCCTACCTCTCTCTTCTCAAGTGGGAATTGGGAAGAGTCGCTGGGAATTGAGAAGAGTCTTTTGTTGATTATACTGTTTAAATTTTATGTGGATCCGATTAATGAGTATCCTTTAGCATTAGTACAGGAGATATCATATTGCATAAGTTAGTAGTCGCATTTTGAAGTTTAAAACATTTGCAAATAGTATAGTGGAAGGATTTCACGTGATTAGGGAGCAAGGCCAAGCTGTTGGGTAGAATGTGCTCGGAATTTGCTCGGTATTCTTCTACTCACCTAATAAATTACGCTGGTTACGAGGTCTATTACTGAGTTTGAAAAAAAGGTTATCAGCTCCCCATAATATCTCGTGGATTCTAATGGAAATTCCTTCAGCAGTCCCGGCGGTACAAGTGGTACTTGCGTATGTCCTTCATAACTCTTCATAAGCTCTTGAATATTCTCTTCTAACTTAGGAAATATTCTCTGCTCTCGGACCAACCAAGCAGGGACCAACCATAGTTATGGACATGACGTACCGCCAAACTTCCATCCGTTGTCCTCCAATCCTATGATCCGGCACAAGCCCATGTTCTGGACCATACGTTTCGGTGTTCGAATGGCTTTAATTGTACCAAAGTCCGTCGAATAAAGAACCAAGCATAGATAATTCCATTATCAACAGATAAAACCATTTAAGACCAGCACTAAGACCAAGTACTTATGTGTACTTTATGAGAAGCAGGCCCTACAACGTAAATGCAGAAAGGTGGAAAAAAAAAATCAAGCGAAGTCGGCTACGGCACTAGATTAGGGAAATAACAAATATAACGAGAGCCGGTCCATCGACGCATCATCGTTCTGCTTATTCAATTCACATGTGATTCGACCCAAGCATGATGAGAGAGGGGCCAAATGCGCGCGCTTGTCTTTTCGGGTTTTTTAGGTAAGCATGCCCCTCCACTAGAATTTGTCACTTTCGGGAACGTTCAAAGCAGGTTTTGCATCGATGGAATCTGAGAGTATTATCTCTTCTCTATCTCTCTCGCTAGAGCATGCTTTGGAACACAAGCCGACGGACCCTCTAAATCAACTTTAAATTCGTCATGCGGGATAGAGGAATCGAAGTGCTGCTCTCTTGCTGTTTGTTTGTGCCTTTCCTATGCAAATCGTACTCGATCGCATGAAGATTGTTTTGCCCCCAGAAAACAGAAGAGGAAATCTACATAAAAGATCATGAGGGAAACACGTTTGCGCATCAGCGATCGTATTGACTATTGAGTAGTTCCTCTGTTCTTCTCGATCAACCAGTTTAGTTTTTTGGCCAGAAAAAGAATGATCGAGTAGAGTGATGAAATCAAGAGTAGGACACACAAAGAATCGTAAGCCAAGTGTGCTATTAACGGAGGTAGATATGGGACTTAAGTAAAAGTTGATGATTTTTTAAGAGACCAAAAAAATTTAAGGTTAAAATTGGGACTGGACCAAAAATTGATGACTTTTTATGAGATGAAAAAAATTTATGGTAAATTGGGACGTGACCTAAAGTTGAAAGTATTTTAGGATATTAGACCATAATACGATAGATCGGAATTAAAGTAAGAATTGCCTCCACGCTCCATTTGGCATTTCTACGTCGTTACTCTAGTTTTTCTCCAAATTTCAAATCCAAGAAGACGCATTTTGAAGATGAATTTCCACATTAGCCTGAACGACGTCTTTTTTGGATCTAAAATTTGAGTAAAAATTAGAGTGATTAGGGTTGGCCTTCTCCAATTGCTCTTACTCTTACGAGAGTTTTCCTCGCATCTCACTCGAGGATCTTCAATTTTGCGCTCAGTATTCAATCGCTCGTGCTCAGAGTCTTCCATCTCTCGCGGTTGGAGAGCTCGCGTTCAGGATGTTCGAACAGCTCATGCTCGGGAGTTTTTTCATCTCTCGGTTGTCAAGAGAAATTTTGAACGGATGGTTAACGAGGACAGATTTTGAACTCAAGTAAAAGTTGGTGATTTTTCATGAGACAAAAAAAGTTTAGGATAGATTGGAACTGGACCTAAAGATGGGGTTTTTTATGGGACAAAAGAAGTTTATGGTAGAATTAGGACATTATCTAAAATTAGAGGTTTTTACAGGATAAAGTTTTTTTTTAAAGTAGAATCAGGACTAGGCCTAAAGTTGAGGTCTTTTTTAGGGAATCAGGCCATCATATTAGTGGGCTTAAACAAACCCTTAAATTTTCGGCACAAGAATATATATCTTCAATTAATTAAGTGAAAACACTCAAGCGACTTACTCCTTATTCATTCCAAAACTATCCCCAAAAAATTGATTTACAAATATACAATTCGAGCGCCCCACTTCCTTCAATCAAAAAATATCTAGCCCTCACTCATTTGCTCAGCTCAAAATGGCCACTTCTTCCATCTTTGAGGCAAACTCTCGATGTAGTAATTTTCCTTTTTTTGCAACATTTTGTGTTCTACTTCGCAGCGCCCAAACCATGGAGCCTAGTGGGAACACTTTTAGCTAAAAAGAAAGACACGAATAGGGACAGGAAAAAGACCATTCTCTAGGGCAAGCATGGAGCCGTCTTACAATCTGAAAGAGACGAAGGATGATGATGATTGGGTTCGTTCCTCCACCTCTCCCCCACTAAGCTCAGTTGGTGTGTCAACTTCACCCACTCGTGATTGGACTTTTTCCCAACTTGGGCAAACTTTCTTCCCTTGGCATCTCCCTCCTTGTCGTTTCCATTCTAACCCCACCAAAAGAAAATGAACTCGGGAACAAAAAGAACAATGCACTAGTGTAAAGTTCTGTTGAAATGGCACATTCCCGATTGGACATACATGTCGGGCGCTCGCGAGCCGAACGTAGAACGCCAACATCTCATCGAAGAAACAATATAGAGGGAAGGCCGAGTGCCAGAGAGAGACGAGAGTCCGGTCCGGCATCGATGAACCGGAAAGAACACGACTATCATTGGTTTAAACACGTGTTTTACGTCCGAACACGCGCCAAAAGCCATCAATGTTTTCCATCAACGGAATGCTAATTAGTCTTAAGTAAAGTAGGACCTCTCATCCTCTCTCTCGTAAGAACAGAAGTACCTTCAACATGATATGTCCAGAGAAAATGGCACCGCTCGATGTGTTTGGTGAAAGCGAGTCGTTCCTATTCTTTTGTCGGCTTATTATGAAGTTCCCAACACTTCTTGGTGGCTGCCAAGTGTCATGATTGTGGCTAATCCATCTGTAATGCAATTAATGTCTTCTCGCGATATGGACGACTAGGGAAAATTGAACTTGTTCACATTAGGGTATGCAAAAGGGACCGCCCAAACCGAAAACCGCTCGAACTGAACTGGACCAATCGATTGGATCCGGTTTCTGAAAGTGTCAGTCCGGTTCCCGGTTCCTAAAAATGCTTGGACACCGGTTCTTGGTTCCAAGGGGAATCGAACCAACAATCGGACCGGACCGACTACATGAGCTCTTTTTTTTTGTAATTATGTGTAGTCAGCATGGGAAATAAAACTTCAATTTTAAAACATATATGTAGTCTGCATGGAGAACATAATTCGTCATTGCATTGGCTCGAATTGCACGCTTGTTTTTGTGATTATGTGTAGTCGGCACGAGAAACAAAATTCTAGTTTCAAAATATATGGTATCAAGTAGTAGGGAAAAAAAAAGGGACCGGTTCCATTGGGGACCGGACTAGACCGGACCGATCCGGTCCCCGGTTCCTAATTTTGGGAACTAGTTCTCCTGGTCCAGTTCCTGGTTCCACCTTCGAATTGGATCGGACCGGAAACCGATCACTCTTAGTTCACGTACGTAATTTAGAGAGAGAGAGAGAGAGAGAGAGAGAGAGAGAGAGAGAGAGAGAGAGAGAGAGAGAGAGAGAGAAAATTACATGCATTTGATAAAAATAAAAGATTCTATGGAACCTTTTCTTATTACAAGTTCAATTTTGTCCCATGAGCCATCGCTAAGTGCATATTTATCCCTTCATAACTTTACCCAAAAGAAGAATCATTTGCCTTTTCCTCCTTTCTTTTGGCTTGTTTATTTCACAGAACGTCTCATTTACGTTGAAATTCGATTTGAGCTTTTCTCCGATCGCTTTACAGACCCCACTGACCAAAATATTCCTCCCATGACTTCTCTTTTTCCAGTATTGAAAAAAAGAATCTATTTTGACAAAATTAGTTTTTGATCGAAATATTTCTGAGTGGCTTTTCCCTTTCTTTGTGATTTTTTCGATTTTAATATGCTTCTAATAATGTCATGGACAACCCTAAAGTGGCACTATAGCAAGGATGCCACACATAAAAGTAGCCAATAAGATGTAGCCATTCTCAACAAGATTACAAAAGGACCTTTCTCTAGAGCTCTTCTTCGGAATGCCTGATATACAAATGACACGTGTCGAAATTTAACAAGAACAAAAAAGAAGAAGGATGAGATGGGGCGACCAACGTTAAAAGTCTTTCTTTAAAGTAATGTTTTGAGTCATTTTGGGTCACCATAAGTCTTGTATAATCAAAGCCAATCCTC